GAAAGACTTGGTTTTTTAGCTCTTTGTCAGTCGTGGAATGCGTTACGGTCATCAACTATTAAATCGTCTTGGAAAAAGTTATGGCCAGATATAGTCACTACTCCTAGCAACGTTCCACAAATCAGTGTAACTTCGGAAGTTATAGAACAAGTCGCTTCTGAAACACAGATAAGTCCGGAAGATTTGGAAATCTGGTGCCGTGGAATGAATAAAGAGGAAAACGTTTTTCATGAAATGTCTGACGAAGAGATTATAAAAGAGGTTTCTAATTATACAACAAACAATCAGGAAAATAACGACGACGTGATTGCATCTGCTCCACAAGTCACAGCACAAGACGTAATTAACGTCTTTGAGCTAGGTTTGCAATGAGCTGAAGAGAATGGTGCATCCTACAACGAACTTACTTTTGAGAAGACTGAGGGACAAAGCTCTGATCTCGCGTTATAACAACCAAATAAAAATGATGAATATTTCCAAGCTTCATAATTTGATAAATTCATTAATGATTTTGGTTAATAATTCTTGATTATTTGGTACATATGTATGTGCATTTATGCTTAATTTTATAATAAGCTCTCTATTATTTAATTTACTAAATTCAACATACATAAACTATGTATGATTTGTTCTTCAAAGTACATACATATACAATCTTACCACTGTATATGTAATTTGTCGTATAACAAGGTACCCTTTTGTAAAAAATTCCGGACTATAGAGGGTCTTAGGCAGTGCTCTATAATCCGACAAATTCAATGGTCCAACACTGCCCTGCATAATGTTTGTCAGATTACCGGAGGTCCACTGTATTGGGTGCATATGTAGCTGTAGAAAATAAATGTCTATCTATTTATCTATCACATCAAAGCCAAAGATTGATAACAAGCCTCATGACGTTTAGGCAACGTACAACTTAGTGCTCAGTTAACGTCTTGTAGAATACGTAGGTTACGTATTGTCAAAAAAAAACAGCAGAATGCCAAAAAAATTCGGCATAACGTCAGTTTTCAAGATACGTGATACCCGTGCCGACCCGCATCCACTCCACGTCTGGGGCGCAAATCTCCACTGGCACGTGGACGTGAAACAATTGAACCCAATGTTTCGTGATGTGGTGTATGCCTATTCGGAAATCGGTGTGCATACAAACGATCTCGCTAATTTTGCCCTGCTTTTCTATACGCTAATACAATATCTACTAACTCCTCATTAGTGTATACGTGCCATTCTTATTAATAAATAAATAAAAACATAAACTCGCAAAATATTTTCTTATTTAACTTCACAAAAATCGACCGTTCTTCATTCAGATCACCCACGATACAGATTAAATCTTATTTACACGTTCTTATACGTATGAAAAAACAAAAAATTCCTGGTATTTCGTTTTCGTCAGTTGCTTGGTACAACATTTGCTAAAACAAATTATTATTAATGCGTGTTCTAATATCACGACTATGAACGCAAAATACAGATATTTATTTTTCAATTTATTATTGAAATTCGGGTTTATAACTTAATTTCTGTAGGACTTTTATTACATTTTTTTTGAGAAATCAACTTTTTTCATAACAGTACATATGTGGTTAAAATTTGACGGATAAGTTGTGAAAGATCCTGTATACACATTTGAGTAATACACGAAATCGTGTTAACCAACTTTCTGTTACCTGTTCCACATATCGATGCATTTTTTCCAAAGTAACGTAAGTGACATTTTTGGTGAAAATCATGTTTTTCCATTAATGTAAGGCTTTTATTGTTGGGAAGGTACTGCCAAAGTGTAGGAAGCCTAGATTTTACTTTAAACCTTTGTTTTTAACTTTTTTTAAAACGTATGTCCAGAATTGTTTAAATCATATCCGTAAAAGAAACGTAACTTTAACACTATTTCCATTATTATTATTGGTTGCTAGCATTATAATTGTGTTTCCAGCTCCTGATGAAGGCTCCATAGAGAATTGCCGAAAGCTAGAGATTACTGTCAAAAGAGTTAACTAGAGCCTAAAAAGTTTGCCAACATGTTTTGTACATGTCTAATGGGTAATAAATATTATTATTATGTTCCGTCCTCCCTTCAATCTGCATTTTTGTTGATTTAAAGAAAGCTTTCGACACAGTTAATCACAAATTATTATTAGAAGCATTGGAGAGAATTGGTTTCAGAGGAAACGCGTACTCACTGATCGAAAGTTATTTGTCAAATCGCCCACAATCTGTGCAGATATCAGGATCATTTAGTAAAGAAATGTATATTAAGTGTGGTGTCCCACAAGGAACTGTCTTAGGTCCGCTGTTATTCAATATATATTTAAATGATATTTTCCAAATTAATTGTGTTGGCAAAATAACTAGTTTTGCAGATGATACTGCAATATTATAAAGGCACTGACTGGTCTGATCTAAAAAATATAATTGAAAATGATTTTATCAAAATTATTCGGTGGTTTAACAGTAGAAAATTAAGCATTAACTACTCTAAAACACATTTTTTACCATTTGGATCTTATGCTAGACATCTGCCAAATTACACAAATTTCTCCTTCAATATTAATGATCAAAAACTGCAAATTAATAGGGTGCCCAACATAAAATACCTTGGAGTGATCTTGGATCCTCACTTACGATGGGATATCCATGTCAATTATATTTTAAAGAAAGTTAGATTTGTATCCTACAAAATTAAATACTTTGGGAATATATTGACAGAAAAATATCTTCGAACATTATACCATGCACTGATTGAGCCTCATCTCACATATGGTATATTAGCATGGGGAGCTGCATGTTCCTCACATATCTATAATTTAGATGTTTTTCAAAACAGTATTCTAAAAATGATATTTAAAAAACCGAAACTTTATCCCACTGAAAAATTATACGCAGATGTTCGAATGTATGATATAAGACAGCTTTATTTCTTACACAGTATCACTCACTACCATAAATTTGTAAACACCGACCAAAAAATTAAACATAATCATTATACCAGGTACAAAATTCGTGGCACAGTAGTTCCTCAACCGCATAAATCTATAATGCAGCGATCATATCTCTATTTAGCTCCTAAATTTTATGAAATTATACCTAAAGACTTAAAAGATTTACGTTTCGGAAATTGTTTCAAAAGAAATTTAAAAAATTGGCTACATTCTATATCTAGGACTGAAATTGATAAACTCATAAATACGAACATCAACTAAATACATAATCTACTGTAACTAATTTTTGTCCTTTTTTGTCATTTGCATTCTACAGTTTCAACTTAAATTTATTGGTCCATATACAGGCGATGCCTTCTATTGGGCCTGTTTTGATTTTATATTTATTTACTCATATTGTTTGTTATCTTTGTACATTGAGTGAATAAATATTATTATTATTATTATTATTATTATTATCATAGTAATGCAACGTTTTTTACCGCCATAATAACATAAGTCCCGGTCGGTTTCTGCGACTTACGTCAGATTTTCGCAGTCAGTGTTTGGCTTAAGACAATGTTAGGTTCGTGCTACCATCGACTAATTATTGATTTTAGGTAAGTAAATAATAACGACATTTTTTTGTAGTTAGAATTAGAAGTATTTTCGAATTTTTTTTTCTTTCAATATTTTTAATGCCATTAGCAATCAACAATCAGCATATCCTACTATTTTTTTAGACAAAAACTTGTAGTTAAGACAAATCATATTTTTCATTCAATATTAGTACTAATATGGTTTCTGTTTTTTTTTTAAACAATGAAACGGTTGATTTTTCTAAAAGTTTGACACAGTACTCTTTTTTCTAAATGAAGTGAGCAATAATAATGAATTATTAAAATTATAAAAAAATGCATTGGCGAAAGAATTAGGCTATTTTACTTTTCAACGTATTAAGTAACTACGCCACTGGTTAGATAATTAAGATTTTTTTCTTCTCATAATGGGTACCACCGAAATAAGAGAAACGACAAAGTTTAAAAATTTTCTGTTGTCTGAATTATAAGAAAAAAACTGTTTTTTAACGTATTTTCAACACAATGTATCTCGGAAATGAAACGTTTCCGGACCGATGTTTATCGCAAATTTTTCATCTAGATATTTTTTAATGTTCTTTTTGTGGTTGAAGTTTTGAATACTAATTTAGTGACACCCTGTATAGGGAATTCCCGTGTTATTAAGACTTTATTAAATACAGAAAACTGTTAATGAACTACAAATATAAAACATGAATACATATTAAATTTGCAAGTTATCCTGAAGTATTTCTTTGTTTAAGGTCGAAAGCGGCCAGAAAAGGCAGTTTCTGAACCTGAAAAAATTTATAAACAACGGCTTCCAATATCCGAAATGAAGAAAAGGGATCTGGAAAAACTTTGCAAAAACAATGTCATACCTGCCAGGTTTCACGATGAATTCTTTAAATTAAAATGTAAGTCTTCTCTTCCAGATGAGTTAGCAGAAACTGATGCAGAGGATGACCATGAAGATGAAAGCTCCAAAACTTAAAAAAAATATATTTTTTACTAGTAGTTATTTCATATTTTCTTTTGTAACGTTATTTTGTGTTTTTTTTTAATAATAAACGATAGTTTTTAATTCTTTCCAAAATACTTTAAGTGCTACAATTTGCCGCCAAACTGACGTATCTGTGTACTTAACGTTACATTTTTGATCAAGACTTCGAGATTTTTGAACCCGTAAAGTAACGTAAATATCAATTAACCACTAAAACTATAGAAAAACTTCAAAAATAATTTTTCTTAATTAAATATAGACCTCAGAGAAACACTCTGGTAAAATTTGCACAATTTAAAAAAGTTTAACCAGGTTAAATTAAAAACACGTTTTTTCTCCGAAATCGTTTTTGGTGACTTAGGTTACTTTGGCAAATATGTATCGATATCACTTAAGATTGTTCTTTCACACACACAAATCTAAATGCTGCCATGTATTAGCAAGAAGCTTTCTTTGTTTCAAATGACTGGGTGGAGGGACAAAAAGCCAATCATACCATGCAATAATTTAATCACGAGCATATCCAAAATATAATAAAACCTTATAAAATTATTTGTTAATACGCATAAAGTACTTTTCAAAAAGGTTACCCCCTCATTTTCTGAAGTTGAAGGGTCAAGCTAGCAACTTGAAAGTCAAAGTAATAAAGCTGATGTATGTATCCTTAGCGTAAAAAAGCAGTTGTAAGCTTTAAGATGACAGTGAAAACATTCTTTAAGTGGCGTAGATCTCCTTCAAAATACCTCATGACCTGAGAATATAAATTTACCTCTTTTAAAATTGCTGGGCCGTCCAAGATAAGGGTTTTTGTGCATTCACCCACACTGTTATTTGTCAGTCAAAATATACGAGTAGCAAGCATCAATTTAATCCGTTCACAAAAAAGGTATAGGGGATACTTTTTCAAAAGCACTGCATATTTTACAATCACATGAACTTATTCATAGGCATTATACTGTAAATAAAACCATACAGAGTTAATAATTAGACAATCACAGTGATTTACAAAATAATTATTTAATACTGCTGACATAAACATTTTCTATCTAACATCCATTAAAATATCTGAAATTGTTCGTGTATATTTAATATCTATTCCATTTTGTATCATAAAGGAATTTTTTCAATGGAACTTGTCATTAAAGGAAGCAAAAAAATTGTAGATTTAAACATTCTATCGACGCACCAATACGAGTAAGCCTTTTCAATAATCGAGCCTACATAATGTCTCACCCCTTTGTCCACTAAAAGCTGTTTGGACATACATATTAATAAAAAATTCCTGGTGGATTTTTAGGATCATCTATTCTCCACTATCCCTGTCCGTTGCTATTGTTATTTCCAACAAATGTTAGGGGATGTTGGAGTACAGAGCATCTATAAACAGTAATAGTAAAGTGGATTGCTTGAGTTTGGTTCATATAAGATTGACCTAGGTTTTTGACGTGTCATCTTACTTATTCTAAATCAAATCTAAGGAGTCAGTTGAGTCGCTATAGAGGTTTTCTCTTGTACGAGACTTACAAAGACACTGGCAGCTTACATCACAAACTTCAAGAACTGGATTGAATCTAGGTGACCTTAGATATGTAAACTGGGCTTGTACAAAGGATGTCGCATAGAAAGCAGCCTTAACTATTAATATCATCCTTGTTAGTTAATTTTCCTCGTTTTATGACATTCAAAGTAGTTTGGATAATCCTCATAGTCTACTACAGTGTTTCTCAAAAATGGAGTCGTCGCGGTAAACATCCTGAACAAAAAATTGAACATACTGAATGTAGACATAGGCGAGGGCTATGTCGGCATAGTTTTTGAGAAGTTGAAGCTCTTTGGATGTTACGTATCCCCAAATATACCCATGAATGACTTCAAGAACTACATAGACAGAGTAATGAGCAACATCCGCGATGGTGGATGTGAAGTAATCTTTGCTGGAGACCTAAATGCAAAATCGGCACTCTGGGGCTCCCCGATCACGGATCAGAGAGGTAGATACCTGGAAGAATGGCTGGCAGAATTGAACCTAGTTGTGGTCAATACGGGTGACCTCCCTACCTTCCAGAGAGGAGAAAGCCGCTCTTTTATAGATGTAACCGGTGCTTCTCCAAGGGCAGCTGCTAAAATTTCAAACTGGGAAGTCCTACATGGCGAAACGCTCAGCTACCACAACCACATATATTTCGAGGTAGGGTGGCAAGGTACTGGCCAGAAATCGGGCGACAGCAGACCGCTCTTCGATGCGAAGGCTTTCGAAGAGAACCTAAGGCACTCCAACTGCAAAAGGAATATGAATGTGAAACAGCTCATGTCTGTTTTGGAAGTTGTCACGAAGAAGAGCACTATCTGGATTAGGGGGGAAAGAAGGAGAATACCCTACTGGTGGACAGTGGAAATCGAGCAGCAGAGAAGAACATGTCTTGAATACAAGAGAAAAGTTACCAGAGGACAAGCTAGGCTAAGTATGAGTGAGAGTGAATGGAGAGGCGTAAATGAGTTGTACAAAATGGCGTGGAAGGAGCTAAAAAAACGAATTGCTGCATCAAAGAGGGGTTATTTTAAGAAGCTGTGTGAAGAACTTGAGGACAACGTTTGGGGCTCTGCTTACCATATTGTTATGAAGCAAATAAAGGGTTATACTCTCCCTTTCGACCTATCCGCAGCGAAAAAAGCAGAAATAATCGATCACCTCTTCCCCAAGTCAACCGATACCTGGCTGAAAGGACAGAAAACCGCCGAAGGGATTGCACCGTTTACCCTGGAGTAGATACAAGAGGCAGCATTGGAAATCAAGATTGGAAAGGCTCCTGGACGTGACGGTATACCACCGGAGGCACTGAAGATAGCGTTGGAGGTATTGCCGGAGACGATACTAGGCGTCCTGAACCAGCTACTGAGTTCGCAAGATTTCCCCAGGATCTCGAAGATTGCCTCAGTGACTCTTATATTGAAGGGAAAACCAGTGGAACTACCTTCCTCGCACAGACCTATCTGTATGCTGAGCGTAGTGGGAAAGTTCTTCGAAAGACTAATTAAACTTAGAATCGAAGAGGAGCTCAAATCGAAAGTTTACCTGTAAAACGAGCAGTATGGATTTAGGAAGGGCAGATCAACCGTCCAGGCAATCAAAGCAGTCGCGGATAATGTATCGGAGACGGAAAGCAAGTGGTGCGCACTGATCACTGTTGACGTAGAAAATGCCTTTAACTCGGCAACTTGGAGCCTAATTATTAAGGAACTCCGACGTAGGGAAATTTCAGCATACCTGATAAACTTGGTGGAGAGCTACTTCCAGGACACGGACAGAAAGCTTCTCCTAACGAAGAGAGAAACGAGGGAAATCTGCGCGGGAGTTCCTCAAGGCTCAGTCCTTGGGCCTCTTCTGTGGAATGTGCTTTATGATGGAGTTCTGGGTCTTGCATTTCCACAGGGAATAAAATGCATTGCGTACGCTGACGATCTGGCAATCATAGCGGAGGCTAACTATTCCAAGGAGCTGGAAATCATCACGAACGAAGCGTTGGCAAGAATCAGCGAGTGGATGGCAGCAAACAAGTTGCGACTTGCCCCACAGAAGACGGAAGCCGTGATACTGAAGGGATCCCGCAAGAAGAGCTCGGTGAATTTCCAATTCCTTGGCACGAAGATAGTGACAAAGAGGCACCTCACGTACCTGGGAGTCGTGTTAGATGGCAACTTAAAGTTTGGAGAGCACGTTCGTCAAGTCATCAGGAAGGTAGATGCTAGGATGGCCCAGCTATCAAGAATACTACCAAATATAGGAGGTCCAAGTAGTCCTAAAAGGACGGTCATTTGTGAGGTAATCCACTCCGTGGTCCTGTACGCAGCTCCTGTATGGCACCGTGTGGTCCAAGTCCAGAGATATAGACAAATGCTCTTGAGTATCCAGAGGAAGACTTTGCTGCGGATATCGAGCGGCTACAGAACAATGTCCACTATGGCCGCTCAAGTAATAGCTGGAATACCCCCAGTCACTCTGCTCATAGAGGAAAGGCTCCGCCTGTACAGCAGGGATGATGCTAAGCTTCGTATTACCAGGTTGCTGGAAAGAAGCATGACTTTGGAGAAATGGCAGCGTGTGTGGAGCGACCACTCAGAGACGGCAATGTGGAGCAAGACTCTCCGGACGTAAGACAGTGGGTTAGCTGTAAACATCGAAGGCTAGACTTCTACTTGACCCAGTTTCCATCGGGCCATGGATACTTTGGGGATTACACCAAAAGAATGGGAATCACGGAGGGCAGCATCTGCGGTTATTGCGGAGAGGAGGACTCCCCGGAGCACACAATCTTTGCGTGTCAAAGATGGGCCGCATGAAGGAGCAATACAGAGTCAGTTATCGGTGCGGAGGTCAATAGCAGAAGCATCACCATACTCATGATGAAAAGTAAGGAGAACTGGAACACAATACAGAGGTTCGTTCGTAATGTAATGAACGCAAAGCGCAGGGACGACATCTTGCACTAGCAGAAGAAACGAGCATATCCGCTGCGAATGCATCTGAAGACATGCCGCAACAAGTGGTGCTACCGGATGTAGTCGCGAGCCAGAGGAGGTGGTTTAGTGGGTAGTCAGTCTACTAGAATGTAGCTGGAGTCCCACACTCCCATGCGCGCTGGAACCACGGCGTATGGGGTCCGTAAAATGGATTCCACCTCCCGGTCCCCCTAGCACCACTAAAAAAAAAAAAAAACTACAGCGTTTCTGTTGAGAAGCTCTCACATGGACAGCTATAAGTTGTATCACATACTCCTAAAGATGGATTGAGTTTTGACGACTTTGGGCAACTTTACTTGGTCTGTACAAAGGTACCATTTCTCAGTAACTTGCATAAAAAGTAGCTCTGGCAGGCCATATAGTTTCTGTTGATGAACCTTGCTTTAGACGAACATTAAAAATAGCTTGGGTCATTCGTATATATGCACTCTGTAGTCCACTCAGTGATTAGTGCATCGATGAAGATGTTCCTGTTTTATGGGTACATAGACACACGTATGTGGTATCACATAAGCATAGTGAGGGGTTGAAGTATGAAGAACTAGGATACACCTATTTGGTTTTTACATAAGATCCATTGCTCTGTAGGTTGCACAAGAAGTAGCTTTGACAAGTTACATCGTTTAGATTCCTGAATCTACCTTGAACACTGTTTTCAAAATATTCCGGGTCCTCAGTGTATCCTCATGTTCTATCAGGTGTCACAGTAGCTTTGAGAAATGAACCTGACTCAGTGTTATCAGGTGTGATAGATGTAGTTATTCCAGAAGAAGCACATGGGCATATGAAACTGCTATCGCATACGCTTGAATACGGATTGAAAAACCCACTTGGACATGAGTGCTTTGTCTTCAAAAGCGTCAAATTTCTTAACAAACTGCACAGGAAATAAGTTTGACAAGTTGGATCATTCTGGTTATCAAATGCTCCACTTGTGGTGCAAGTGAAGTAATCAGGATCCTCTTCGTATTCACAGGTTCTTTGAGTTGGAGCCGATGTTGAACATGGAGGTGTAGGAGCTTCTGTGGATGATACTTCAGTGCTAGATTCAGTTGTAACTACACTTCGGTTCTCACAAGGGCAGGTGTAGCTTGTATCGCAGACGCTCAGATTAGGGTTAAATCTGGATCCTTTTGGACATGGGTATTTTGTTTTTATGAACGTCTCATTTCTCAAAAGATTGCATAAATAGTAACTACTACATGACAGATCATTCAAATTAACAAATCTTCCTTCTTTAGAGCAATGGAAGTATTCTTCGATTTCTTCGTAGACACATCTGGGTTCAGTAGTACTTTGAGTATAGGCAGGTGTGCTGACGTTAGCCTCGGTAGTGCTTATATCTGATTCTTTGCCGCTAGATGTTGTCGTGGTGCTAGATGCAATAGCTGCAGTTGCTGTAGCTTGATTGCTGCAAGGACAATTATATTCTGTATCACATATACCTAAAGATGGATTGAATCTTGATCCAATGGGGCAATTATATATTGTTCTTATGTAAGATCCGTTACTCAACAAATTACATAAGAAATAGCTGTGGCACTCTACATCGTTCAGGTTTTCGAACCTTCCTTTATCTGCACAAACAAAGTAGTCTGGATCTTCAGCGTACCTGCAAGTGTGTCCTTCAGTACTGGCCGTTATACCTCCTTCAGTGGAGGTAGCCTCCGTTATTCTATTGGTGGTAATTATTAAAGCTGTAGATGCATCAGTAGTACTAGATGGAAGTATAGATGTGTGACTTTCACAAGGGCAGGCGTATCTGTCGTCACATAAACTTACGGAAGGGTTGAATCTAGAACCCTTTGGACAGGAATACCTTGTCTTCACAAAAGAACCATTCCTCAATAAGTTGCACAAGAAATAGCTTTCACAGCCTAAATCATTAAGGTTCTCAAATCTTCCTTTGTTGGTGCAAGTAAAGTAAGTTGGGTCTCTTTGGTAGTTACACAAAGGTTCTTCGGTTGGCAGCTGGTCATCAGCTTCAGTGGTTGTACCTGAACTTGTTGGAATTGTAATTGCTTCAGTAGTACTAGATGAAGATGTATCTGTATCTGCATTGCAAGGACACTTATAGCGAGTGTCACACAAACTTGAAGCTGGGTTGAAATATGAACCTGTTGGACATGGGTACTTTGTCCTTATGAATGAGCCATTCCTAAGCAAATTACAAAGATAGTAACTTTGACATGTGAGATCGTTGAAATTCTCAAATCTCCCTTTCCTGTAACAATTAAAGTACTCTGAAGCTTCTTCATAGTTGCATGCTCTTCCCGAGGTTGTTTTCGTAGCTGTTTCAGTTGTTTCATCCGTTCTTGTGGAAGCCGGAACTGTTGTTGTATGACCATAACAAGGGCATTTATACTCTGTACTGCAGATACTCAAAACAGGATCGAAATACGAATTCTTTGGGCATGGATATTTTGTCCTTACAAAGGAACCATTCCTCAATAGGTTGCACAGAAAATAGCTTTCACAACCCAAGTCATTGAGGTTCTCAAATCTTCCTTTGTTGGTGCAAGTAAAGTAGTCTGAATCTCCTTGGTAGTTACACGAAGGCTCTTCAGTTGGCAGCTGGTCATCAGCTTCAGTGGTTGTACCTGAACTTGTTGGAATTGTTGTTGCTTCAGTAGTACTAGATGAAGATGTATCTGTATCTTCATTGCAAGGACACGTATAGCGGGTATCACACAAACTTGTAGAAGGGTTGAAATGTGAACCTTTTGGACATGAGTACTTTGTCCTTATGAATGAGCCATTTCTCAGCAAATTACAGAGGTAGTAACTTTGACATGTTAGATCGTTGAGATTCTCAAATCTCCCTTTCCTGTAACAATTAAAGTACTCTGAAGCTTCTTCATGACTGCATGCTCTTCCCGTGGTTGTTTTAGGAGTTGTTTTAGTTGTTTCATCCGTTCTTGTGGGAGGCGGAGCTGCTGTTGTATGATCATTGCAAGGACAATTATACGCTGTACTGCAGATACTCAAAACAGGATTGAAATAGGAATTCTTTGGGCAAGGATATTTCGTCCTTACAAAGGAACCATTCCTCAATAAGTTGCACAGAAAATAGCTTTCACAGCCTAAATCATTAAGGTTCTCAAATCTCCCTTTGTTGGTGCAAGTAAAATAGTCTGGGTCTCTTTGGTAGTTACACAAGGGCTCTTCAGTTGGCAGCTGGTCATCAGCTTCCGTGGTTCTATCTGAAGTTGTTGGAATTGTAGATGCCTCAGCAGTACTAGATGAAGATGTATCTGTATCTTCATTGCAAGGACACGTATAGCGGGTATCACACAAACCTGACGAAGGGTTGAAATATGAACCTTGTGGGCAAGGGTACTTTGTCCTTATGAATGACCCATTTCTCAGCAAATTACAGAGGTAGTAACTTTGACATGTTAGATCGTTGAAATTCTCAAATCTCCCTTTCCTGTAACAATTAAAGTACTCTGAAGCTTCTTCATGGCTGCATGCTCTTTCCGTGGTTGTTTTAGGAGTTGTTTTAGTTGTTTCATCCGTTGTTGTGGAAGGCGAAGCTGTTGTTGTATGACCATTGCAAGGACAGTTATACTCTGTACTGCAGATACCCAAAACGGGATCGAAATAGGAATTCTTTGGGCATGGATATTTTGTCCTTACAAAGGAACCATTCCTCAATAGGTTGCACAGAAAGTAGCTTTCACAACCCAAGTCATTGAGGTTCTCAAATCTTCCCTTGTTGGTGCAGGTAAAGTAGTCTGGGTCTCCTTGGTAGTTACACGAAGGCTCTTCAGTTGGCAGCTGGTCATCAGCTTCAGTGGTTGTACCTGAACTTGTTGGAATTGTAGTTGCTTCAGTAGTACTAGATGAAGATCCATCTGTATTTGCATTACAAGGGCACATATAGCGGGTATCACACAAACTTGTAGAAGGGTTGAAACCTGAACCTTTTGGACATGAGTACTTTGTCCTTATGAATGAGCCATTCCTCAGCAAATTACAAAGGTAGTAACTTTGACATGTTAGATCGTTGAAATTCTCAAATCTCCCTTTCCTGTAACAATTAAAGTACTCTGAAGCGTCTCCATGACTGCATGCTCTTCCCGTGGTTGTTTTAGGAGTTGTTTTAGTTGTTTCATCCGTTGTTGTGGAAGGCGGAGCTGTTGTTGTATGAACATTGCAAGGACAATTATACGCTGTACTGCAGATACTCAAAACAGGATTGAAATAGGAATTCTTTGGGCAAGGATATTTCGTCCTTACAAAGGAACCATTCCTCAATAAGTTGCATAGAAAATAGCTTTCACAACCCAAATCATTGAGGTTCTCAAATCTCCCTTTGTTGGTGCAAGTAAAATAGTCTGGGTCTCTTTGGTAGTTACACGAAGGCTCTTCAGATGGCAGGTCATCAGCTTCCGTGGTTCTATCTGAAGTTGTTGGAGTTGTAGATGCTTCAGTTGTACTAGATGAAGATGTATCTGTATCTTCATTGCAAGGACACGTATAGCGGGTATCACACAAACCTGACGAAGGGTTGAAATATGAACCTTGTGGGCAAGGGTACTTTGTCCTTATGAATGAGCCATTTCTCAGCAAATTACAGAGGTAGTAACTTTGACATGTTAGATCGTTGAGATTCTCAAATCTTCCTTTCCTGTTACAGTACAAGTATTCTGAAGCTTCTTCATAGCTACATACCCTTCCCGTGGTTGTCTTGGATGTTGTTTTGGTTGTTTCGTATGTTGTTGTGGAAGGCAGAACTGTTGTTGTATGACCATTGCAAGGGCAACTATAGTCTGTACTGCAGATACCCAAAACGGGATCGAAATAGGAATTCTTTGGGCATAGATATTTGGTCTTTACAAAGGAACCATTCCTCAATTGATTGCAAAGGAAATAGCTTTGGCATGTGAGATCATTCAAGTTTTCAACTCGTCCCTTTCTGTTGCAAGCAAAGTAATCAGGATCCTCTTCATACAGACATAGACCTTCTTTACTCGTAGTAGTAGCCTGCCTACCATCACAGGGGCACTCGTGGTGCGCATCGCAGATTCCAAGATTTGGGTTAAACCTCGACGACTGTGGACAAACGTACTTAGTCTTCACGAACGACCCGTTCCGTAATAGGTTACAAAGAAAGTAACTTCGGCAAGACAGGTCATTCTGGTCCTGAAATCGTCCTTTTGCAATACATTGAAAATTTTGAATCATACTGGGATTGCATACAGAAAAGCTAGTCAAACTAGAATTGAGATGTAACGATTCGAATGAGAATTCCGAGAGATCTTCTCTATCATTTGATGTTTTTGATAAATCAACTGCAATGTTTGGCTGATAACCAGATTTATCATCAGAAAACTGTAACATATTATCGCGCATTGCGGATAACATGTATAAGGAATCATTTCTTTCGTATACATCGTCGTATTCTTTGGTTGCTACTGTACCATTAGTGTCTTGATCTAACTGGTTGTTTATTGCAAGTTGATTCTCTGTGTTACCAGCTGCTGCAGTTCCATTGCAAGGACACTGATAGTTCCGATCGCATTTTTTGGCATGAGGATTGAACTTTGAACTCCCGAGACACTGGTACGTTTCTTTAATAAGTGTTCCCGCTTCTGTATATTTGCAGTGATGGTATGTGTTACATGAGACGTCATTGAGATTTCGAAATAGTCCGGCTCTGGTGCAGTGGAAATACTCAGGATAGCCTACATATGTACACGCCTCTTCTTCACTTTGAACAACCTGAAAGATATAAATGTTTTATTATAGTTGATCTAACGGGTGTTCCAAATTCGACTCTCGACTCACTTTAATCTCGGAAACAAAATGTCGTTTGAAAAGTTCAGAATTTCAAATTAGTTCCGGAAAGAGATGAAAAAACCGAATTTTCCCAAAATCGTACTGACTTCATTTGTAGTGGGACTTCAACATAACTTACACATTAACATTGCCACTTCTTTTGACGTCATACGGACGATATATTGGAATTTTATACATTTAAATGGAATTTTCTGCCACATTCCCTTAGTTGGCCATATGAATTTGATGATGGAATGAAACTTATAAGATAATAGAATAGAATAGAAATTTATTGGTTTTTCAGTTATAAACAAAAAACAAAGAATTTATAACAGAGATAACACGTCATTGTGATACAGTGTAAATAATACACAATTTTTCTAAAGTACATACAAAACAAACATTCATAGACAACATACAACAACAGCGATATTAATGCTTACGGTTTCACTAGAGCACAGAACTCTTCAATACTATATGGTTCCATATCGCATATATATTTATGAATGCTTTTTTTGAATATAGTGAATGCTGAAATGGATTGAAGATGTCGAGATAAAGCATTGTAAAGTTTCAGTGCAGAGTAATGTGGACATTTTTCGTTTGTGATGGGTAGAAGTATTTCTGACTTTTGCGCGTATTGTAACTATGGTTGAAGACGTTTTTTCCATACTTTTCTTTATGGCTAAAGATAAATAGTAGAGTGTTATAATTAGATATAAATTCCTGGTAATGTTAATAAGCGGTTGACTTTAAATATACTTCTGCATGACTCTGTAGGTTTCATTTTGAACATTATTATCCCCTTTTGTATGATAAAAATTCTATTGGCTGCGGGACTATTACCCCAAATTGTTATTTGATAAGACATAATAGAATACGCAAGCCCATAGTAAGCAGCCTGCACAGCTTGCAAGGGCAGGTGACAAGTGAGTACTCGTAGTGCATAGCATGCTTGATTGAGTTTTGAAGCCTTACTCTCAACGTACTTAAGACAGCTATTGTACGTGACTCCTAGGAGGTTTGTATCGCTTTTGATACATAGAGGTTCATTAATTAAGGGTAGTTCTTTGGTGGCATGGCTTGACTGAAATAGGACACAACACGTTTTTTGTATGTTGAATGCTAACTTATTCATCTGCAGCCAGTTTTGAATATGGTTTATTTGGGCCCAGTGTACTGCCTTGAGGAACACCAGTACTATATGTCCGAGGACTAGATGTTATTCGTTTCCCGGTTTTGTTCAAAATTACTTTCTGTCTTCTATTACAGAGATAAGATTTAAGCCAGTAGTACGCATTCCCGCGTATACCATATTTATATAATTTGTTTAGCAATATTTCGTGATCAATGCAATCAAATGCTTTTGACAGGTCCATAAATAAACCACATGCTGCTCCTTGATTCTCTCGATATTCATGGATTGCTGTGGTGAAATCGAACAATGCCGTTCACACCTCTACCTTTCATGAAGTACTTATTTGAGTGGAAAAAATTAATAAGACGGTTGTTATAAGCAATTTCAAAGATTTTTGAAAAAAATTATCAGTAAGCTAATAGCACGGTAGTTGTCCATATCATCAGGATCGCCTTTTTTATAGATTGTTAATACGAGTGCAATTTTTAGTGCTTCTGGGAATTCTACTTCACTAAGAGATGTATTTAGGGTATTAAGAAGAGGGTCAGATATTATGGTTATCACTTTTTTAATGATGAAAATTGGGACGTTGTCATCACCACAACTTTTTATGTTTTTTAGATTGCATACAATTCTGAGCAATCCGTCATGATCTATTGGAGTTACAAATATTGTTTTATTTTTTAGTTCTAGGTTGCAGTCTTAATGCAAATTTGGTAGTTTTTAGAGGAGTTTTGGAGCAGCTTCGACAAAGCTTTTATTGAAATGGTTTGCTAAAGCATTTACATCATTATGTACCGGTAAAACAAACTGATCTGACGACGCTTTGGGTGTGGTAGTTAATTCTCGTACTGTATTCCAAATTCCTTCACTTCTATTGCCATGATTATTTACTTTGTTTAAATAGTATTGCGATTTTGAATCTTTTAAGAGTTTCTCATATGTCTGATTATAACTTTTATATTTTATATTGTTTTGGGAAATCATTTGAAGAGCACTCACCCTGTTCCTGAGTCGATCCAATTCTGGGGTAATCCAAGGAGGTTTTTTACTTCCCACAGCTCGCTTTTTTATCCTCAGAGGAAAATAGTAATTGAAACTGCTTTGTATTATCTGAGAAAATATGTTCCACTTCTTCTTTACGTTGACACTACTATAAATTTCGTTCCATAATGCTGATCTTAGATATTGTAGAAAACTATTTATATGTGAGTTAGAACACACTCTAATTAATTTGGATTCATGATCGATATTGGTACTGAGTGAAAAGAGGGTATGTTGCCCTTTATGGTCAGAAAAAAGTGTATCAATAATCTTAGACTGAAAGTTCACAATGAAAATATTGTCCAAACATGATTTGGAGTCATTCTCTACTCTAGTGAAATCGGTAATAGTTGCTTTCAAACCGTAGGAATGAATTATGTCAATAAAATCTGATGATTTCTTATTTGTCACGAACAGATTTATATTAAAATCGCCGGCTATGACACATTTCTTTTTTTCATTACTAATCATATCTAGAATTATTTGAAGTTTCTCAAAAAACGCGTCGATTTGACCGTCACATGGACGATATACAGGGTGACTTCGAAGTTGAGTCATTTATTTTAACAGTGAGTAGATCTGATCAAAAGAAATGTTTTTTTCCTTTACCATTTTTCTGGTAAAATTAAAGTAACAAAGTTATAGCCCTTTGGAAGTTTGAGTACCGCCCTGTCACAATAATATCATGTGTTCGTGTTTGGCAACAACGGTTCATCGCATCGGAAACAAAAAAGCGAAAGAATTTGGAACGATGTTTTTACGATTACAATTCAGTTCAGTTATACATACAGTCAGTTTCAGTCGCGTGTGAATAGTTGTTGTGTTGCGTGGCTCAAACGAAATAAAAAATGGCACATGTTTATGCGGATCGGTTTCCCAATCGAGTGCAACCAACCCCTCGTGCCTTTGTTAATGTAGTACAACGGGCTCGTGAATCAGGTGACTTAAGACCTCACAGGGGACCTCACGATCAAATACAGGTCCGCACTGAAATACTTGTCGGGAGGATACTTTATAAAACAAGGTAAACATTTTTTTTAATTTTTTTTTTATTTTTACACACATATTTTGGTTTATCTTCCTTCTACAATCATTATCTGAAAATTAATGACTCAACTTCAAAGTCACCCTGTATAGAAACGACGACTAAGACGAGCTAATAATCACAAATAAGCATAGGTAAATCAAAGTGGATGATCACCTTGTCCGTTATTTTATAGGCAATGCCTTACTCTTATCTGTACATTTTGCACAGCTAGGTTTATTTCTCTTCTTCTCATTCTTCCAAACTCTGTTAATTTGAAGTCTGATCCGGTATACGAAACAAACGACTATCTGACAATTTCAAGGCCTACCTAGGAAATTCAATTCCTCTGAAATAACTTAGGTATGGTAACGTCAGTGTATGATATTTCAAACATTTTTTGGATCATAATTATAAACTTATTTCACCTGTGTAAATATCCAATATGATGTATGTAAGACAAAATGAAGTTGATGCTGGAGGGCAAGAGACGAAGCGTCATATTGAAATCCTAATTATGCGATCTAGTAAAGTAGAAAAAGTGTCAAAGTTAATCTACAATATACTTTTTAACCAAAAACTACTTCAGCACCTTTCATCCTCGGCCTCCAGGGTCATTCAATATCTTGTTTGAAAGGCCTGGACGTTTGATTTTTTAAAATCAGTCGATTCGTTTTCGAGAAAATTAGAAAAATCTTTACTTATCTTAACTTTTTCAGATAGAAAATAAAATCACACGAAAATATCACTTTTTATTTTGATAAGTGTTCAAAGTGTTGCCAGTTAGGGTTTGAGAAGTCTATAATTCGTTTATAATTTAAAACGGAAAGTACCAACACAAACAGCAATTTGGAAGATTAGACGTCGCAACAATCAAATAACAACCCGAATTTTTTCCGCATTCTTCTTCTTCTTCTTCTTCTTTCCGGTATGAAATTTTCCATAGTCGAAATAAATTCCTTTTCAATGGACAGTATCGACAACGCTGTCAGGCGATCCTGGGTCATACGAAGAAAAGTCTTGATTCTTTTCAATGTTGAGAAATTTCGCTCAGCCTCTGATGTTGACATAGGAGTTGTAACAATAATTTCTAATAGCTTTTTTGTTTCTTTTAGTGTTTCCTCCAAACTATTTTGTATCAAGAATTTCAAAAGAGACAGAGTTCCATGTAAATCTCGGCAATCATTCCGTGCATAAATAAGAGACGACTTCGTCTTTAACGACTTTTTTCTAATTCGGGCTAAGCCAAGCAGGTAGTTTCCAACTTGATGCGCATAGCAATGCACATAGTGAGTAAATGAATACCTTTGTTTAATTTTTGCCTGTACTCCAGCATTATGTGCGCTCATTACCGCGGCTCCATCATAGCTTTGTGAAATCAGTTTGTTAGGGAAATTTCCTATTAATGGATCTACGACGCTCAAAATATGTCTTGTGAGAGTATCAGCGTCACATTTTTCGGGATTCATATAATTCCAACAACGTTCTACTGGTTCGCCGTTAAATACGTATCTGAAAATGGTGGGTTGGGTTTTCCCCGAAATGTTCGTTGTTTCATCTGCTATTATCGCCAAATAGGAGGCTCTGTTAATCTGTTTTATTATTTCTTCATGACAAACTTCATGAATACAATCTAGTAGATCATTTTGTTTTTCTTTCGAAGTTCCTTTAAATATTGAGGTATTTTTTATGTGTTCGCTTGAGGTTGTATCAAGCTCAGCAGAAAAATTAATCAGTCCACGAAATATTTCCGGGTTTTGGGAGCTCTCGATTTCGTGGTGACCCCGTAGCGCCAATTCAAATGCTGCGAAAAATTTTATACCGAGCACCGACCGACCAATCAGATATCGTACTTCGCATTAGATCTGTATAACGTGCAGCACATTCTTATGCTTAAATGGCGCATTTGATTTTGTAGAGAGAGACAAAAATTTCTATGGGGATGACCCTGGGGCAGTGGGTGAAAGTGGTTGAACTAGCTTTTTGAGTAAAAAGTGTCTCGGCGTTTTTTCTTTTAATCAGTGGTTTTGATAAATCTGTGGTGGGAAGTTTTCAAATGAACACCCTGTATACTCAAATCTCACAACAAGTAAAGTTAGGTTAACAGTATTTTGGGAAAAATCGTTTTTTCCTGCTCTCTGCGGAAGTACTTTGACTTCCGAAACTTTCTAAGCCGCATTTTCTTAGTTACCTAAACACGCCTAAATTGAACCTACTTTAGCGGAAGGTGGAGCAAATAAATGGATGGCGCTAGATTTACATAAGTTTATATATTTTTTCCTTTCATTTGTAAATCGAACAGATCATAACCATAAGTGACTAATGACATTAGTGAGTAATGATATAAGTGACAGACGACCGACCCAACGTTGCCAACCTTAACAAATGACAGATCATGACAGCTGATGACAACTGACAGCTGTGGCGTGTAATACGAATTCGAAATGACTTATTACACTATTAAAGCGATTTTGTTTCTCTCACCACGTCCGAATAGTAGAAAACAAGTAAATTATGAGCCTTGAAGATCCTTAAGATCGCTATAGAATGTCAGTTAGTTGATTCCTTCTACAAACTACTCTCCATTATAGCAGAACATTACGAAAAAATTATATTGAAGTATACTTTCTGATAAGTATGTGTATAGAGATACATCTTTTGGAGGGGACTAGACATATCAATGTACAGTGAAATCCACTTATAATGAACTTGCTTATAATGGAAACCCGTATATAATGGACAAATTTAAGGTCTTATAAATAATTGCATGCTCATAGCGGACTATTATAACCCATTATATGCTATTTTGGTAGTTTCCTGAAGCAGATTTAACTGATGCACTAGTTTACGGCGGTTTGGCTTCGCAGTTTGCATTCGAACTTGGCCACCAGTGTTACACTGTATTTATTAGAGTTATAAACATGTCGAAAAGTGCGAAACGTGCATACACTTTGCACGAAAAGTTCACAATTAGTGAGCTTGAGCAGGGTTCATCTCAAGCAAATATATGTGCTTGTATGGCTATAAAAACATCCACTGTGTTAAATATTTGCCAAAACCGTGACACAATTAAAAATGACTGGATATCAAATAGTCAAAAGAAAAAAAAAACGTCGCTGCATCCCCAAGTCGATGATATGCTGTTTTCAGTAAAAGCGTGCTAATAATTTTCCAATAAGTGGATCTATGCTACAAATGAAGGCTGAAAAATTTGGGAAATTGATTGGAAATTACTTCAAATGTAGTTCTTGTTGGCTAGACAAGTTTAAGAAAAGACATAACATTGTTATTGAAAAAATGTGTGGGGAGTCAGGTTCAGTTAACAAGAAGGTTGCCGATTACTGGATTTCCCAAGTTTGGCCCGTAATATCCAGTGAATATTCAGATGTTAACATATTCAATGCAGATGAAATCGGGATATTTTATAGAATGCTACCAGATAAAACTCATAAATTAAAAGGTGAAACTTGCAATGGAGGGAAACTACCAAAAGAACGAATAACTGTTCTGATTTGTGCTAATACTTCTGGTACCAAAAAACGGAAACTGTTGATAATAGGTAAGTGAATGAACAGAAATTCATATTCCAATCTTTTTGATATTCAATGGCAGTGCTGCAAGGAATTTATGACCTTTTTCTTATTTCAGGGAAATGTAGGAATCCCATGTGGTTCAAAAATGTTAAAACAATTCCCGTCGATTATGTTGGAAATAATAAAGTTTGGATGACTTCATCAATTTTTGAAGAATACTTAAAAAAGTGAGACGATGAACTTGTTAAGAAAAATCGAAAAATTTTGCTTTTGGTCGATAACTGCCCCCTCATCCAAATATTTCACTTAATAACATCAATCTTCAATTTTTTCCACCCAATGTGACATCAGTTCTGCAACCAATGGACCAGGGTGTTATTTGGAGTCTTAAACAAATGTACCATAGAGTATTGAAGAGTTCTGTGCTCTAGTGAAACCGTAAGAATTAATATCGCTGTTGTTACATGTTGTCTATATATGTTTGTTTTTGTATGTACTTTAAGAAAGATTGTCTGCTATTTACACTGTATCACAATGACGTGTTATCTCTGTTATACATTTCTTTGTTTTTTGTTTATATCTGAGAAACCAATAAATTTCTATTCTATTCTTTCAGAAACATATGTTGATGAAAATTGTGGAGCATCAAGAAGATGTCAACATTACCAAAGCTGTCACCATTTTAGATGCTATAAATTTGCTCACTATTGCATGGGAATTGGTTACTCCAGAAACGATTCGCAATTGTTTTCCTCATGCTGGCTTAGTTAAAAACATAACTGAAATGGTCAACGATTTTAATCCAGAAAATGAAATTCCGTTAAGTGATTTAATGAAAATTAATAGTTTACTGAATATAGACAAATTTAATGAGTACGTAAATGTTGACAATAATTTAATAGCAACACAGGAATTGTCAGACTCCAATTCGGTCAATGAAGGATCCGTTGATAACGAACAGGAAGACGAACTAAAAAACAACGATGTAGAAGGGCTTCCAGTGACAACTGAAGGGGAATTAGACTGCGTGAAAATGTTGCAAGGTTATTTTCAGCAAGACGAAGACCGTACAGCCACACTCATCAAATTGAATAAAATTTAAGTTGCTGTTCTGAACAATTATATTATTTATAATATTAATTTACACGTATCTACACAGTAAGTATGCTTGTAATATGTGTACCAGATTCTGAAGAAATGCAAATTTCAAAATTACGTATGACCTTTTTGCATGTGTCTTTATTTACGTAATACATCTTGAACAAACACATTTTAACCTTTTAATATGTTATTTCTGCTGCTTTTTTCATTAAAAAAGTGTTTCTTTTAAGATGGTCATCCGCCTATAATAGACTATTTTATTTTATTTATTCAGCGGGCGGTGGCCGCAGTAGTAGACTTTTCGGTCTCCTGATCAGTCGCCGTGCGCTGTGTGGGTTCGAGTCCCGTCCCAGGAGAAATTTTTCTCTTGGCTATGGATGTTGTGATTGTCCGTAGGTGGTAGATGGTCTCTGACTGTCGAACGCGGAGGTACCACCCGGCGGTTCTCGTAGGCGGAGCCAGAATGTGTGCATGTTGCATGCACACGTGTTCCCTCGCCAGGGTCCGTGTGGCGTCCCCCCTTTCCCATGTATCCCCCTATACCCCACGGTACCCAATGGGTGCTTAAGCCTTCGTGGTAGTTGGAGTACAAAAAAAAATTGTCACAGTCCCGCCGAGTTCATTATAAGCGGGTTGCACTGTAGTTAGTATAAGAGGCAATACTATCGTGTATCACTACGTAATAGGGTTACAAAAACATGTATTTCTGTTCTCAAACAACTATTTGACCTGTTTGTGGTTAACAGAAAGGATTACATACCTGCGGTGTGCACTGGTCCATTAACGGGAAGCAGATCTTTGCAAAGCTGCACATCTTGTACGTGGGGTCAAATCCAGCAAAAAGTGGACAAGGGCTGTGATTTTTTACGTAGGTTCCAAAGAACTTGTTGCATACGTAATATTTCCCGCATGTATCTGGATCCTCGAATATACCCTCTGATGTGCATTTGAAAGGTGAACAACTTTTGATGACCTAAAATAAAGGGAATATAATGAAACCATGTACAGTAAGATTAGAGGAAACAATAGAATCTAGGTCTGTAATGAAAGGTGAATTGAGGTCGCATGTCCGTTTTTTTCAACTGCCTGTTTGGAGCAATATTCAAAATTCTGACAAATTGGTTAAGGCTTTGGCGGCCAGTTGATAAACTGCTGTCTTGATTCGGGTCTAAAGGCCGTCGTCGGTTGGAATTTCTTCCTAACGTTTCGCTTGCACGAGTGGCAAGCTTCTTCAGAAGTCCTTCCATTTCCGATGCTGGATGTAGACTGACGATTTCACACACACCCTTCTACCCTGTGCGGTCCCTCCACCACCCCTGTTCCAGGCAACCTCAAACCCTCCCCAATTTTGCCTCTTTTTCCTGAAATTTGACTCGATCGCGCACACGTCGCGGAAGCACTTGGTGGGCGTTTCTTCCAACTGTCGGTTTTCAACTTTTATGGACGGCCTCTTTCTTGGCGGTCCTGCGCTGGGGGCTTTGACCTAAGCCCCGCATTAAGGTTGGTGAGCCTTCGCTCTTTCCTCGTCGACTGGAGTCAGTCAGTCGTCGTCAGTCAGTGATTTGCTGTTAGTCATTCATATCCTGAGGTTAGCCCCGAGTCCGTGCTTGACTCTGGCCACCTCAATCGACAGGCTTCTTTTTGTCCACCCGTTGTACACGGGCTATTCTTTCCCCTCTTGGGGGTCGGTCTTCTCCCCTTTTCTTTGGCCTCATCAGCTGCTACGGCCAAATTTCTTCTTGTTGCAGCTGGCTTTTCGGTCTTTTATGACGCCTTATTGTTCTTGGATCGTAATCCAAGGCGTCTTTAATCAGCACTTTACGATGTCTTTCGTTCTTTTCAAAGAACTTTCGGGCCCTCTCTTTCATCTGGATTACGACCGGTACCTGTCGTAGTTCGTCATATAGCACTCTGTTAGGTACATACCACGGTGCGTCCACCGCTTCACGGAGTGCTATGTTTTGATGAACTTGGAGCCTCTTCTTCATCGTTTTGGAAACGTAGCCCCAAGCTACTTCTGCGTAAGTCATGATTTGTAGCAGCACCATCTGAATCAAGATGGTCTTATTCTTTAGCGGCAGTTTGCTTCTTCTGCCTGTTAAAGGTCTTAGTCTGGAGCGTGCCATCTTCACTTTCTGCAAATGGCCCTCGACATGGTTCGTCCAAGTGAGTTTTTGATCCATCTTGACTCCAAGCTACGTGCTGGAGTCCTTCCAGTCGACCTCAACTTCTTCGTCTCTTCTCCAGCCTCTCTCCATTCAGATGGTCGTCATCTTTATTTTGGTTTGAGGTAATCTTCGATTTCTTCGGAACAGTACCGCTTCGGTCTTCTCAGGGTTGAGACGGATCTTCCACTTGATGCACCATTCCTCTAGGTTGGTGGTCGCTCGTTGCAGATATTCCGTAACCATGCGGGGTCTCGTACTTTCTGCCGCATGTGCTGTATCGTCCGCATACACATACAGTTGCGTTTGTGGAGTCTTCGGGATGTCTGAACTGTAGATTGCATACAGCAGGGGTGATATAACCGCTCCCTGCGGTACTCCTGCCTCCACAGTCCTCGTCGTCGAAGTTTCTTTACCAATCCTAATTCGGAATTTACGGTGCTTCAAATAGGACTTCACCAGTTGGATCATCCCCTTTGAGTATCCAAGGTCTACCATCTTGTAGATCAGCCCGTCATGCCAAACAGTGTCGAACGCCTTGGAAGCATCCATGAACACAGCTCCCACGGCCCACCGAGTCTGGAACGATTTCGTTGCCATCTCGACCAGCCTTAGGACCTGGTGCTCTGCTGAATGTTCGCTTCGGAATCCGAACTGTTCGTCTGGAACTACTCGGAGTTCTTCAGTTTCATTCCTCAGTCTTCGTTCGATTACCCTTTCCGCAATCTTGCTCGGTGCCATCAACAGGCTTATGGGTCTGTAGTTTTGGGGGAACCTTGGGTCTTTCCCAGGTTTTGGAATGTTGATCACTTCAGCTACTTTCCAGTGATCTGGAAAGTATCGGTGTCTCAATATGGCGTTGACAATGTTGGTAATTGCCATTATCGCTTTCCTCGGGAGTCTCTTCAAGACCCAATTTTGTCTACACCCGGTACTTTCTTCACCTTGAGTCTTCCGATGATTTCCCTTACCTCGCCTGGAGAGGTCATGTCTTCAATGGCTCTTCCTCCTCTTTCAGCTCTCCTCGATCTTCTTATCACCTCGTCGATGAAGTCTTCGTCTTCATCGGGGTGAGTATTGAGAGTACACTATCTCTGAAGGTTGTCAGCAAAAGCTTCTGCCTTCTCTTCGGTTGTGTACAACATCCCCTGTTCGCTGTGTATTGGGGGGATGGGCTGTCTTCTGTTTCTGAGGATTTTAGCCAAATTCCACATTCCTGGGTCAGCTGGAGATAATTCTTCGAGTTTCTTATCCCAGGTGCTCTTATGATGCTGCTTCAATGCGTCTCTTGCCTGTCTTGTCAGTCTGTTTGCCACCATGATGTCCGTGGGGCTTCTGGTCTCCTGGGCTACTCTTCGTGCTCTATTTCTTCTGACGATTTCTCTTGTGCAGGTTGTATTTATACCGGAGGGTAGGTGACGTGGCTTGTTCTGCTTCGGTTGTATGAGGGTATCTTCCTTCCTGTAGAAGTTATCTGGATGTTTGTGAATCTCGATAGCTTCCCTGACCAGTCTATTGTGATAGCCGTTGCCTGATGACAGAAACCTGGAGCTCCCAAAGTGTATACTGTGGTCCCCATTGCTTAGTGGCTTAGTGCAAGTACAGCTGAACTTTTCAGTTTGTTCTAGCCGGCAACTTGCTTTGTGCTCCTTGAGTCTCGTTCCTATTGATCTTTTCGTGGTTCCAATGTATACTTTCCCGCATGAACACGGTATGCGGTAGACTCCTGCAACTGAGAGTGGGTCCTTCTGTTCCCTTGCCGATCTGATGGTTTGTTGGATCTTCTTCGTAGGCTTGAAGATTGTTTTAAGGTCATGTCTCTTCAGGACTCTGCCAATCCAAAGATACGCTTGAGAGGTGGTGGGACGCTGTTCGGTTTCACGTGGCCTGGCTGATCTCGAGCCCATTGATCTTTCGATGTCCCTCTTGCTGTCGCCATTTGCTTGGAACGCAGTTTTCAGGTGTTCGAGTTCTGTCTGGAGGTTATCCGGTTCGCAAATCTTTCGAGCTCGTTCTGTCAGGGTTCTGGTGACTCCATACTTCTGACTTGGGTGATGATTGGTCAAAGCGTGCAGGTTTATGTCTGTGTGCGTTGGTTTCCTTTACACTGTGTGACCCAGCTTGTTACCTCGCTTTCTGACTAGTACGTCCAAGAAGGCAAGTTATTGGTCACTCTCTATCTCCATGGTAAATTGGATGCCGATCGTTGAGGTGCTACAGAAACTCGTTTAGCCTGTCCGTGCCATGTTTACAAATCACGAAGGTGTCGTCCACGTACCGGAACCAAATTGCTGGTTTGTTCTCCGATGTCTCAACCGCCTTCTTCTCAATCTTCCAGCATCGAAAATGGAAGGATCTCTGAAGAAGCTTGCCACTCGTGCTAGCGAAACGTTAGGAAGAAATTCCAACCGACGACGGCCTTTAGACCCGAATCAAGACAGCAGTTTATCCAAAATTCTTTTCAACTCATTATTTCCTGGTGTGTATACAGATGACTAAAAAATAATGTTATCAATTTTTTGTCAAAAGAGCAGTTTTGTGCATTTTTAGTACAGCTCTGAAGTCGTATGTCCAAGTTCCACTCTCATAGTAAAATTGAGCTGGTGATTACTATCATTCTTATACCTTTTACTTTCGAAAAATCATTGATTTTTTGAAAACTCGTTTCGTAGCAAATTGTGTTTTCTAGAAAAGCAAAGATTTTTTGAAAAGATAGTGATTAGAAAAAAAGTTATACCCGCGCAATTCTTCCATAAAAGTACCAATATTTGTTGAAGAAAAAATGCACAGAAAATATTTTTTTGGCAAAAAAGAAACTGATAACCATGTTTTTCAGTCATGTCTATACACACTCTGAAACAATCAGACGAAAACTAAGAATACTCCTCCAGATAGATTGTTGAAAAAAGGAACAAGCGACGTTAAGTTTTATTACACAGAAGATTGGATCAATGCGTCTGCAAGATCTACACCGGCTCTTCATGTTGAGCATCTTCTAGAGATGTTTCACTAAAATTTGGTGTCTGAAATACAGCGTTTCCGATTACAACAAAAAAATATCATTTTAATGACAAAAATGAATGGTGTATAGGGTACTAGTATTTTACCAAATGTCAATGGGTGATTCCATAGGCGGCCTTAAGAGAAACGTTCATATATATTTTTGACTATTCCCTCGTAGAAAATATATCTCAGTATGTCATTCACTATAATTGTTAATTTTCGCCAAATTTAATTCTGTTACATTTTCCCTTAAAGGGCTTGGGTCTAATTGATCCTTATTCAATTTTGTCACATCTTCCAGCATAAAATCGTAAGACGGGCGTCTGTGGTTAGACATCGACAAAGCTCCTGTCGCGTCTCTTCCAGATATCTTACGAATTGGAATGGAAATTTGCCCAAATCCAACCCATCTCAAAAAAGGGATCTAAGACCGGCCTTTACAAATACAGCCTTATAGCTCTACTTTCTGTTGTAATTAAGGTGACGGAGAGGTCAATAAATCGGCTTCTGCTGTACCTCGAACGTTACAACTTGCTTAGCGACAGGCAGTATGGTTTCCGGCACCAGCGGTTCATAGAGGACCTCCTAGCTTACATCACGTAATTGTGGAGTAAAATCGTCCAGCTTCTCATTATCAGCTATGCAAACTTCCATCCTGTGGTCACCCCGGGAAGCTTTGCAGATGGATATCTGACTTCCACTCTGTCCACAAGATATCCGTGATAGCTGACGGGTTCTCCTCTTCATCCCACAACGTCAACTCCGGGGTTCCGCATTGATCGGCCTCATTCCATGTACGGTCAATCCAATCCACAACTTTGCTCCTGACGGAAATATACATGCAGGAGTTCAGAGTCACAAGCCAATCTCCGCCTGTGAGCTGAAGAAAAGAGGACTTGCAGGGACTTCCTCTCTGACGAGAGACTTGGAGGTTATCAGCGCTTGGGTACAGTTTAACGCTTCCAAAACACAGTTCGGTACCTTGACGAACAAGAAGCGTCCTAGCGCTCATTCGGTTCTAATGGATGGTAGGGTTCTACCTAAGAGCCGTTCATTTCGGTTGGTCGGAGTACAGATCACCGAGGACTTCATCTGGCACGAGCACACCTCGTCAATAGCGGATGCTGCTGGGTAAAAGCTAGGTTCTTTGTTCAGAGCTAAGAAGTGCTTTTCACCACATGACCTCACTCTGTACAGGGCCCATGTAAGACCTAGCCTCGTCTACTGCTCACATATTTGAGGTGCTGCTGCCCCGACTACATTATCCCTGCTCGGAGCTGCTCAGAGTAGGGCTGTCCGATTTTTCTGTTGCGACGCCTCAGAGCTCTCCTGCTATGATACCGCCGCGCGATGTGCCTGCCAGATAGACTTGCCCCACTTCAGTCTTCCGTTCAAGCCGTGTCGAACTTCGTACATCCAGAGCTGGCCGATTCCATCGCTCCTTTGTATCTAGGGTATCGAGATTGTGGAACTATCTACAAGAGAAGGCTGTTTCCAGTTCTACTACCAATAGGCAGTTCAAAACTCAGATTAACAAAGTTTCCTCAAGCTCCTCATAGCAGTCACAGAACCCTGTCATTTAGGCTTCTGCCTGCGCGTTTGTTTTAGAGTAAGAAAAATAGTATGAACCACCTTTTCAGCGCTTTAACCAAATCAGCCAAATGCCTATTAGAACTTTAGGCATATACGATTTATAACAAAAAAATTTTTGTTACCCATTTTGAATCCGAGACATTTTTTTCACTGGTATTACGTACCGTAATTTCACACAACAATAGTCCTGCCCCACAAATATGGTCTCAAAGCAGTATATTTTTTAAACATTTGTAAATCGCATTATGGCGACATCTATTATTAAGTAAAGAGACTAGACGCAAGCTAATAGTCTCCAATAAAACATTTCCGGCCCGCATCGCGTTTCGTAGGAATCTTCATTTCGCTTTGACGCTTAGTATCGTATAACATCAAGTACAAGGTGTTTGTTTACCTGCAAACTTTCGATGCTGCTGGTGGTAAGTACTTCGATTTTTTCAATTATTTTAGTTTAATAATATGAGTTATTGTACTATCTCGATATGCAACTAGTTATTGGTTGAGTTTCTCGCGTTTTTTCTTCTGGAGCAAAAAAAAACAAAAAATTACATTTTGATTTCAACTATGGTCCAACCTATTTTTTGGACCATAGTTGTCTTTATGAATAATTGTTGTCGTTTTCTAGAAATCATAAAGCATCACGGTATCTATTATCAGTAGTTATGAATGTACGAGTATAAAAATATCCCTATTCATTGGAAGCATGATCTCAGTATAAGGGATTACTCAGCCTTGTATTAAGGGGATCAATTGATTCTGGCTTAACCATTATTTATTCAAGCAGATAATAGAGTTACTGTAAAAATGATTATCTGTCGAAAACATGCACTTGTTGCTAATTCACTAAAGTAGAAAGATCTAAAATCCACTATTTTCAATTACAGGAAGATTCAAATGCATAACAGCGAAAAGTAAAAGCTTTGCTAGTGATTAACATACAAGAATTCCGCTCCAACTTTGGTTGACAATTTATACCAATACATTTAACCTTTAACCGCTAACGTGCGACAGTCGCACACAACCGCTAACGTGCGGTCTAAGATACCGCTACCGGTTTTTGTTATTTTTTATGAATGGTACAACGTCTTTATTAAAAAAAATGCTCAAAAAAACAATGTAATTAAGTTTCAGTTTTCAGTATTGAGTTTTTCTTTTCAACTTTGGTGGACATCTGTAACATGTTGCTCTTTTTTCCAAGCGATCTTCTAGGACTTCACTGCTATGAGCAGAATGGTCAGTGCTCCCACATAAGTTTTCAATTGTCACTCGCAATTCTCTGGAAAGTTTTGAGTTTGCCATTCTAACTCTCCATTGTGGCAAAACCAGACTTCTTGCTAACTTTTTTAGAAAATCTGCCCTTTCCAGTTTTGGAGTATCTTTGTAGCTTGAGTACAAAACATAAGCATTTATTGTACTTACGTCAACAAGCATGAAAAATATTGCCATAGGATATCTTTGTGTCATTCGACTTGGACTATAGTTTGCGGACTTTTTGTCCAAACTATCCACGTCACCTTTTGTCGAATTGTAATATGCTATTATTTGTGGTTTACCAGTTTCTTGATCAGTTGATTCACAATGATGCATAGATGAAATCAGAATAACTGATTTTGAAGGTTTTGGTACAAAAGAAAGTAAAGTCATATCATTAATGTATCCGTAGAGGCTGCTGTTGAGTTTTCGATTTTTGTTAGCTTGAAAGCTTGGTGGAATTGCAGCTTGATTCTTTTTCAGCGTACCTACATAGGTGAGACCCCTGTTTTGGAGTTCTTGAACCAATTCCACAGAGCTAAACCAATTATCAGCTGTAACATTTCTATTGGTTTTTTGAGTTGGCCTCACTAGCCTGATTACAGACTGTGTTGGGATTTTCAATTTTCTTTCATTTGCAGATAATGTTAGTGAATCTGATCCTTTTCCAGCGTAAATATAGGCATTATAAAGGTAATTATTTCGGGCATCTGTCTGGCACATTATTTTGATTCCAAAACGAGCCGGTTTTTTCGGCACATATATTTTAAATTTACAACGGCCCCAGAATGTTACGAGAATTTCATCCACGGTACCATAAGTGCCAACAGAGAGGACATTCTGGGAATTATCTATGAATTTATTGAATATTTTTGATATGAGAGGCACAGGATCGCCCTCAATTTGTCTTTCTTTTCGTAGAGTTGCATCGTCAAATCTAAGAACAGTAAGTGGGAACTCAAAGCGTCTATTCGCCATGGTACATCGAAAAACGTCTCTTCCTGTGCCATCTGTGGTAAACAAGGACTCGATGCTCTCATTTCCTGATTTGAAAACTGAGGTAAATATTAGCATACCTAAAAAAGCCTTCATTTTTATTTCATCGGTGGTGGATAATATCGGACTTGCCTGGTCTTTATACTTTTTTCTTGCATCAATGATCTTCACATTTGTCCACTGAATTATTTCTGCTATCATATCTTCAGAAAATATAAGAAGTCAGATGTCTGGTCGTAGTCCAGGTAGAGTGAGTAAAATGTTATGTTTTCTAGCCCTTACATTGACTGGAGGCTGGTCTTTATGCCTGAAAAGAAAACAACGATAAAGCACACACCTCAGTATTACCTCCACAGATGTTTTAGTAATTACAGATTCTGAACTTTCTTACCATTTGAACTTGGTTTTATCAATATAAAACCTCTCTTTTTCAACAGAAAAATCTTCCATCTGATTTCTTTCCTCCAACCAATTTTCAGTTACATTTTCGTCTGGTATGTAGTCTGCATCGGAATCTTCTTCATGTATCTCCATTGTTGTCAGAATCTTCCAGTTCATTATCACTTTCAGTGAATCTAATATCTTCGTCATCTTGATCCGTTAAACTTCTCGCCCACTCTTCAAATCTTGGATCATTAGGATGCATACGATCAGGAAAACTGCTCATGATTTTATTTCCGGTACACGTTCGCTAAGGTGAGGTCGCTGAGACCGCTACGGTATAGTTTTGGCAATAACCGAACACTGCCGCACAAGCTTATACTGCCAACTGACTAAAACGCTCCGTCATGCTTTCTCCAAACAGTGTTGCCAGAGCGAAGTTTAAAATATCCGTGACACGTATCGCAAAATTCCGCTACATGCCGCTACGGTCTAAAAATTTAAGGGGGTCGGGGGGGCTTAAAATAAACAACAAATATATTTATTATATATTTACTTTTTTTTAAACACTGTCTAAAAAAAACCCTACTAAAAATACAAACAGTAACATAATATAATAGCAATTTTTCGTAAAAACATAAGATGATAATGTTAAAATGATTAGAGCCAGTTTACCTATATTGCGAAATAAATATTCGTAATTAAAATTTTTGAGGTCGTTTACAAACGACCAAAATTCAATGACATTACCTTTTGTTTTTAAAATTTCCTCTTTCTTACTATCACTAAAATAAATACATATTTTCTTTAGTTCCAAAATTGCCTTTTCGGTTTCAATATGAAGGGCAAATTTTTTTAAAACGGCGTCATGAATGGTATCACTTATAATAAGACGATTGTTCATCACATCAACCGGTGAGAGAAACTTTAGCTCTGAACAGAAGCTGTCTTTGATAGGAAATCTTTTAAGGGACTCTTCTACCGATTTTTGGTAAAATGTGACACATTTTAATTTAAATTGTTCGATTGCCGTGTTATTGCAGTGCTTTATTGCATCCATTGTATGCAGACCAACATTCACTTGTTCAATTGGTAATGAGCAGTGGGGATCATTAGGATTTAGATTATATAATTTCTCATTTTTAAAATATTCTGGTAGCATAACGTTTGTACATAGATGACGTACAAATCGCTCACTTTCTATTGATATGATATTGAGCATAACTTTATCTGATTGAAAGATAGCATTAAATTGTTTAAAAATGGGCAACACGAATTTAAAAAACATTAAATACGCCGTAACAAATGGATTCTGTAACTCATTAAGTATTACATTTGCTACAGGATTTTTGTCTAATCTAAATAGGCTAAGCAAGATGTCCCACTGACCCAAAACTCTATCAACACATTTGGATATAGCAAGCCACCTTGTTTTACTAGGGCTTAAAATTTTTAATTTTGATTTTTTGAAATATTCCTGTAATTCTTCAAGAACACACTGCCTTTTTGGGCTTCTTGAGAATTAAGAATATAAGTTTTGTAAAAGAGCTTCAACGTTGCTTGGAATCTTTTCAGCTGCCCCCACCGCCACTAAATGAGCAGAGTGGCAAATGCAGCCATTGACAATTATATTAGGATTATCTTTTAAAAGATAAGTTTTGAAAGATTCGTTATTGCCCATCATAACACTAGCGTTGTCGGAACAGTATCCAACAATATTGGTAATTTTTTATTTGATTACAAGCTTTACATTTTGCTTTCAACTTGTCATTTTCAATAGGTCCCAACCAGCCTTTAAATAACGGATCTTCTAGCCATGATGAAGTAAACATTTGTTTTCGTGTCTTTTTCTTAACAGGTTGCCCTGGCTCTTGGTTATCCTGAGATTCGCAACTCGAATTATCAGGCTCATACCTGCTTCCACTAGATTCCGCTCTTCTATTTTGTCTGTATTCAGGTTCGGGATGCTCCGAGTCCGACACAGATGCAGTCGAAGTGGATGGTACGGCCACGTTTGGCTTCACCGTTTGTTTTTTAGAAGGATTTTTATCAAAAAAATCGTTAATGGTCTGCTGTCGCCTTTCCATTATTCCCATGTTCCAGAAGAAAAAGCGTTAAAAACAAATTTCTCGACTAAGATTTATTTCTGGATCAAACTATAATATGTTAGATATTTAAGCAGTTTTGTTACTTACCAGTAGATTTAATATCAAAATCTGCAGCAAATGATATATCAATAAAATGATCAACACAAAAATAAGAACACTAATATAAATGAAACTAAACAGTATATACCCAGAGCTGAAAAATACAATACAATGCGAGAAACCTAATATTATGTCTGCCTGCTGAGACCTGTTAGAAACGATTAGTATTGAAAGCAGAACGTACGCCATCTGTTATTGAAAAAAAAGGCAAGTAGAATAATTCTCTTCTCTGTTCCTAGATGGCTCAAGCGGCACCAAATACACCAATTTTATTATTAATGTGATAATAAGTCAGACTCTAGCCACTGCCTATTGAGGATTTAAAACGTTATTAACGTTAAAACAGTTAAATAAATATGATAGTTTTGTATGTAATAAATTCAGCTACATTTTGGGCTAATTTGCTCTACCGCTACGCCGCTCTTCTCAAAATAATCAGCTACAAATAGCGGAATTCCGCTACGTATGGCAACACTGTCTCCAAAAGGTATCCAGATGAGCTGTGCTATATCAATGGGGTATCGTAGACCGCACGTTAGCGGCTAAAGGTTAGTAATAGCTTTCCAGAACAATTTTTGTGCATTGATACATATAAGGATACAATCCCGGTCCAATCGACGAAAGGCGTAATAAAATCTGCATTTAAATCTGGAGATGAACAGAAAGCTTGTAATTATCACCCAACTT